TATATATATATGTGTGTGTATATATATATATATATGTGTATATGTGTATATATATATATATGTGTATTTGTATATATATATATATATGTGTATTTGTATATATATATATATATATGTGTGTATATGTGTATATGTATATATATATGTGTATATGTGTATATATATATGTGTATATATGTGTATATGTATATATATGTGTATATATATATATATATATATATATATGTATATATGTATATATATATATATACATATGTATATATATGTATGTATGTGTATATATATGTATGTATGTATGTATGTATGTATATTTATGTATATATGTATGCATATATATATATATATATATGTATGTATATATATATATATATATATATATATATGTATGTATATATATGTATGTATGTATATATAATATATATATATATATATATATATATATATGTTTGTGTGTATAAACCCTTCCCACACTCTTTCGATATTCAAAACAATGTTTCTAATCTCCATTCCAAAAGAGCACAGACTGTCAAGATTTCCCTCTCCGTGCCTCCGCTGCTTAAAGTCACCTGCAAGGCTCTTGGCCACTCCCACTTCTCGGCTCTGCATGCAGATCAGCTGATCAGCTGTTCAGCTGCAGGATGAAGGTTATCCCGCAGTATGGGCTGCACAGAGGCACTGGAGGAAGCTTTTTAGACAGTTGTGTGCTGCACAAAGGAGCAGCAAGTGTTAAATAATTTATAATAATTTATTTTAAATAAAAAATCTATGCCAATCGTGCAGCTCATTAATCAATCATACAATTGTGTGCCATGTCCAATCTTATTTTGAAAAATTGCTAAAGAGCAAATCCACGATAAACGAACGGCGAATTAGCGAGGGACTACTGTAGTTTCAAAATGGTTTAAAATTATGATTGTTTCTGTTGTAGTAGAACTTATGAGGAAAACAAAAATATGCACATTAGTTTTTTAAGAATGACAGAACAGAGTTTGCAATAAATACTTTTAGTTTTGCTTAACCAGTTACAGTTTTATGAAAAGCAACAATCCTTAAAGCATAACGAACAAATTAAAGTTAAATTCAAACATTTTCTTTAGCATTAAATTTACTCTAAACTGTTAGAGGAAAAAGTTGAATATTTTGACAGTCAATAGATCCATGAGAAGTAAACAATGTAAATAAAGTTGCTTTTTCTATTTTATTTGCAACTACAGTACTTTAACAGATTTCCGCACATATCTATGACTATAAAAGAAAATTAACATTGTGCTGAATATGATGAAATCAGATTGCTTGTTATAATCAATGCTAATAAAAAGCTTTGTTATATGAATGGGCACTCATGAAAATCTGCAAACTATTTATGGGTGATAACTTTAAACTGACAGCAGGAAGATATACCATTACAGTCTAACAAAAACACAGTAAGCTAAGTTTTTTCTTTTTCTTTGAATGTAGTGCAGAGAACTGTATTGTACCCATTTGTCAGCAGTACTTAAAAAAAAAAAAAAAAAGTTACACTCCAAGTTCATTAATGTATTATTCTGCAGTTCTCATTAGACAAAAAAACTTTTAATCCTTACAGTAACACATTTCTGTTTCAACACTTCATCATTTCTGATGCCAAAACCAAAAAAAATAAAAAGTTTAAAAAGGAATCTGTTCTAGATAAAGACTGAACCAGGAGACATCTGAAAAACGGAAATTCTTTGGTAAACCGTCTTATTTATTTGTTTTCCCTTGGTTTCTCTGAGCCTGATAAATGACAGAGCCACTAATGATCAGTTTCCTTGGTGTTTTATAAAATCACTTCTGTGTCTTCAATGGCCTAAATATTTTTCACCACGTTAACAGTAGTGAGGAGCCAAATGTTTGTGTGTGGCTGCCTCAAATAGATAATCCATCTAGAATAAATGTAGACATTTAGGAGAGAATGAGACGGCCGTCTGTTTCGAGAGCATTCACCCATTAAAGTTCCTGCTAATGTCCCACTGCCATACACAGATACAGGAACCATAAACCATAAAGCAAACCAGTATTATTGATTTTTCTTTTGCTGGTATTGACATCCATATAACTTTTCTACTGTGGCTGAAGAACTCTGGCCTGTTTTTGTCTCTCTGCACGTTCACTCTGACAGATTTGAGAATCTTCTAACATGATCTTGTTGTAGAACAGCAGTTCCATACTACGCATTGTATTGTGTAGGGAATCTTGTTTTCTCCAGAGTGATGGTTATTTTTAGATGGGGGTTCAGAATGAATCACATATTTCAACTTGTTGGTATCTGCT